CCTAAATCTCGTCAGCGACAATAGGCGAGAGCGGTCCATGAGGGTCTATCCTTATATTATGTCTATGGAGACAGATGTTTCTGTGGGCGTGGCTTTTTAGGACCCCTTTACCGAACCAGGAAGTAAACAATGTGATGAGCTTAAAGAGCTACACATTTTAGCAAAAATACTATCCGATTCCATAAGACACCAGTTAAGATCTCAAGGAAAACTAATTAGAAAGACTTTTATTGGTCTAATATGGTATGTTGCCTTTTTTAAAATTAATCTCCAAAACCATCAAAACATGTAAATTACCCAGAACCTGTCCTGACTTATTGTGTCGCTTCAGAGGTTGAAACTAGTCAAAGGAAGATCGACACAGACCTCAAAGCAAAGATTAATCCCTGAAAGCCGACATAAATGTTGAAGAGCCCATGGGATTAAAAATAAAATGTTTAAAAAGATCCACTGACTATGTTGTTTTTCACATCTCCCTCATATTGTGATATTTCAATTAGATATCCACAGAAACAATAGCGAAATATTTTTAAACACTGTTTCTGTAACATGTTATAACTTATTTCCGAGCTCATTCACAGAAGACATGACTACCGCAGATCCATGTGGCAGTGTCATTTCTTCATTATTGTTGATATTTCTTCTCATAATTTAACTAAACATCTTTATTCTTTTCATCAAGTGACCCTAATACTCAACCATAAGAGACAACGCTGAAAAAACAATTGTCTTGTATACTTTTACATCAGAAATGGGTTAAAATCTTCATCCTTAGCCAATCAGGACGCTTTTGAACCTCAGACTTTTACAAGTCAAATGTTTGTCATAAGCAACATACCAACTTTTCATGCTTTGTTGAGGAATTTCATATATACATTTTTGTGCCATTTGGATTTATCAAACAACTTAAGAGCTCTGATAACTGCAACTTAGCGACAGATTTACTTCTAGCTTTTTTAAGTTAATATTATTATTATTAATGAGAGAACTTTGCAAACTGAACAGCGTGAGAGAGCTAACGTCCCCAAAAGGCTTAGCCAATCCAGTTCTTCCACACTTTGCCCCTGAGTTTAACTGGGTCCATACTGTCCATAAGGTATGGTAAGGAAGTTTTACCAACAAAACAAGAAACCAAAGGAGAGAGCAAAAGAAGAAAAAAGTATAACCCATGTTTAAGACACTATGATTAAGACACTAGGAATCCAGTGTCTAGATCTGATAATGTTGATCTATGGTAATGAGTAGTTTCTCTGGATTCAAAGTTTATTCTAATTCCTTTTCTGGGTTTCGAGATAATTGTAAGTACTCCATAATTATAAGCTACAAGGAGTTTTTCTGTAAAAACTAACAGAATTTTCTCTGCATAATAATCTAAAAAGTAGAATATTGGTCTAAATAGTGAGTACTCCACAATTTTGCAAAGTAATAAAATAAACTAGACAGACAGGGCAAGGAAGAGATGCATCAGGAAAAACAGGCACATGTAGCAGCATTCAGGTAATATAAAGATATGAGTGAAAGGCGGTGACATCACAGTGCATCTGTTTCCTGTGTTTGTGTGTTGCATGTGTATGACCATGAAACCATGCAGCTCGGTCTCCCAGGCAACAGTCTGATATGATGGTTATCCAGGAGCCAGTCCTTGGGAGCGCTCTGCTCCACAGTCACACGGATGATTACAGAAGGGAGTGAGGAGAGAAGGAGCGTTACGTTCACAAATCTTCCAGGAGATTTGAGATCGCCAGCCAGTCCAGGCTAACACAGGGGAGCCAGTTCAGATGCAGAAAGCTTTAGGTCGGGTAGATTTTAAATTTTAACCTGCCCTAAAGTCTCACCGATACATCTCTGTTAATTCCAATCATCCAAATTAGTGTGGCCGTTCCACTGAACCAAAACTAGCAACTTCTCCAGGATCGATTCCTTCCTGCTAGAGAGTTTTAGAGTCTCAGCAAGAATCACATCCAACTTGCGTCTCTGTCACCGTGTCAGTCTGAGTGTTTGCTAGTCGGCCCAATCCGTCACAAATTTGTCGACATGAGGGCTGCGTCATCAATAAATCCAGCAGAGTAATGAAAAACAGAGGGGCAGGGATATTAGCATCTTATAGCCTAGTGTGGCTTAATATATCTTTGTTTCCAGTATTTTTTTTAAACTCTGTGTATGTGGCTTATAGTGAGGTCTGCTCTATAGTCTGGAAAATACCGTAATAATAATCTGATGAACTTTAAAACAGATTAATGTGGATTTAGTGTCTGACCTTCTTAAAGATCTTCATCATGGAGATGCTTTGTTGTTTCTCATCTTCTGCAGCATCTTTATTGTCTGAACAAAAACAACAACATATGTGACTCACAATAATCTGAATAATAGCAATAATCTCGGCTCCATACCTGCATTCATCAGAGTGACGGCATTCTGCTCATTATCTGATCTTTGCTTTCTGTTCCTTTCTTGATAAAACTGGAAAAATGTCTGAAATGAAAGTTTTTTTCACATATTAATCATCAACCATAGGAGCAGTTTCACATTATTGCATCCTGATTTATGAACCAGGTCAGACACAAACAGATTTCAATTCTTATGATAAACTGAGTTTTTCTTTTATTACAGATCTTCAATCGCCAACCTGAGCTTCTTCATCGAGTTTGGCTTCAAGAAGAACTAAACCCCACATCGACTTGTTTCTGAAGATTAGCTGTAAACGGTGCCTAATGGTGATATTTATGTGTTTACAGGTGCAGTATTATGAGTTTTCCAGGCACACAGTTTCATACCACAGTCAGTAATTGTGTGGCTGTAACTCTGCTCAAATAAAGTTCTGTTTTCCAGCACCATTTGGGTTTCTCCCATTCACTCTGATTGGCCTGGCAGATTTTCTGCCGGCCAATCAGAGAACAGAAGGAGAAGTTGTGAATAATGACATTGAATTTCTGCTGTTCCATAATCGTAGCCTCCCTGTAGTTTTAGCAGCGGAGGAACAAAACCGTTCAGGCCCAAATATTAACAGCTGCCATGTTCAGCTGCTCAGTGGAGGACGGTGGGTTACAGTGTAGTTAATTTCTGGTTAGCTTCTTAGCATTGAACTACATATGTCACAGGGAAACGTTAGTGATTGGTTAAAATTTAAAACCTCAGCAGAGGCCACGCCTCCAGGAAATAATCATTTCTCAATGAGAGTCCGGATCTGTTGGACAAAGCAAAGCGTAGAACAAGGAGCCGGTGTCTACCAGGATAGTAACTACGTTACCTTCAGTTGCTATAAAAATGCTTTATATATCAAACATAACTTAAAATACACTTTTCACCATTAATGCCTTCAAATTGGGCCTCTGCTTCTTTAAGAAACTCCTGCTCTGTCCAGCACTTTGCCTTCAACACTTCTTCACATCAACACACCTCTGTGATGCTGTTTGCATTTTGTTACCAGCGTTGAACTGAGAAGGCGTTTGTTTAAAGAGTTCAGCAGATGCACAGTTCCACCAGGTGTTTGTCAATTGCTGCTGCTGCTAGTCTGGAGGAACTGAGTAGGAGGGCTGCTCTGAGGAGGAGCTGTGTGAGAGCAGGCGTTTGGGCAACCCTCAATAGTTTCTCAAATGTTCATGTAAGAATCAAGGAAACACTCCAGGTAGTTTCCTGATGAGGGAACAGCAGGACATGTTTTAAAGTTCAAAACTTAGGATTTTTAGATAACTCTGTCCCTTTAATATTCGGCCTAAAACCATCTTACTGCTACATATGGATTATTGTTAAAATGTAGCTCTACAAAGTGTAGCATTTATTTATTACTGTACTTTTATAGCAAGGACCTTATTATAAAAGTTATAAAAAACTTTTATAATAACTTTCTTATAACTTTAGTTCAAATATTATACTTCAGTACAAAATTCTGTATTGACTGATTGGACTGTAATGCATTCACACCGACCAGAGAATAACTTTATAATACACATTTTTAAAACACTAAATCCCATGTGTTCTTGGGAATCAAATGTGTTACTCCATCTTTATTACTTATTGTACACAAGCACATATACAATATTTTTTTTTTATTTCAAGGAAATAGTGGTCAAACTGTAGCGAAATCCAATTGAACCGTTTTTACCTATTTGTTCTCTTTAAATCATGCACTATTTCAACTGCAATGAAATGCAAAAAGAAACAAAAGTACTGGAAGAGTTTCTTTAAGCGCGTGTACAGATGAGGTAGTGGTCTGGAGTGGCTGCTTTCACCATGGAAATCTACAACTTAGAGAAAAATCTCTAGATTTGTTGCTAGTTGTTAGAAAAGTTATTAAATATAGTGAGAAAGACACTAAGCTAGTCAAAGCAACTTAGCCACTCCCCTCCGGGCCCATTGGCTCCACCCACTTTTTCAGAATTTGTCTAGGGCAGGTTATGGGTTAGTTACACTTTAAATGTTTCCGAATTATATATGGCCAGAAGACGTCTGGCTATATATGTTATGTTCTGTGTTTTCTGTGTAGTTATTTTTGAGGTTTTCTGTGTTTAGTCCTGTTCCTGTCCTGTCTTCCCTGTTGATTGCTTCCCAGGTGTTTAGTTACCTGATTACCCTCCCTGTGTAATTAAACCCACCTGATGTCTTTGTCTCTTGTCGGGTCCTCGTCTAATGTCAGTTTTGTCTGTTGTGTTCTGGCCAGTTGAACTGGATAGTCCTGGTTAAGCTTAGCTGTCCTATTCAGTCTTCAGTGTCATCAGTTGCTACCGGTAATTAGCTGTATGCTAACCTCTCTGCCGTGCTGCCTGTCATCCTGGACTGTTTTGAGCTTCTTTCATTAAATCACATCATTTTCACTACAACCTGAGTTCAGCCTGCATCTCTCCTCACCACCTCAAACCCACTTCATGACAATATACACTTTTGCCATGTGAAAAGATCCTAAATATGTTTTTACAAACCCTTAAAGTCTGCTCTAAGACAAACTAATAATGAATACTGCTGAGAGTTTGATGTTCCAGTTTGACTTTACCAGTTTGGGCAATAAGACGTAGGACAAGATGGACAGGAAAACGACAACACAGGCTACGATGAAATAGCCGAATGCTGCGTCCTCCAGCTCAGAACCACCTGCAGTGGAGGAGATGGAGGAAGTGACACAATTAAGATGTTAATCATTTGTTGATAGAAGTTTGTCAAAACTTCTATCAACAAAGACTTATTTCAAATGAATGCTGTCTTGCAAATCAGTTATTGAAAGCTTATCTGACAGACTTGCAATGGCGCAGATCATAGAAGCGGCAGCGAAGGTTCCGGCGAGTCCTTGGCCGCTCATGATGGGAGTGGTGTACGAAGCTGGAAGCAAACCGGCCATCCCAAAGAGACTGCCCTGCAGCACTGCACCAAACGCTGGAAAATAACCAACAGTTCAACAAGCTGATTACCACGCCGGAGAAAACTCTGAGTATGTTAACCCTGGGTGTTCTGGGGCTCTAGTACTATTCACAGTGTTATGTGTTTGATTCCAGCTTTCATCCCTGCATCATTGAGCAAGGCACTTAACCCAAAGTTAGCTTCCGATCTGCATATTGGTGGATAAATGTGCATGTATTTTGGAGCATGGCAGGGTGGATGTGTCTGTTTGAGTAGTTGGTGCTAAATGAGGTCAGCGGGTGCCAGGACAGCTTTGGTCTGCAAAAACAATATCTGGAGAGTTTCTTATTCCTCCGACTGACTGTGAAATCAAATCTGCATCTGGCTTCACAGCAGGCTGCTCACATAAAGAAGGAACTTGTATTTGTGTGGCCTTCAGTCATTCTCATTATTCATATCCAGGTGATTGTGTTTTAGCATTTCTCACCTGGTAAGAAATGTCACATGTTGTAATTCAACAAATATTCTGATTTGTTTGTGTGAAGTAGTTGTTTCAGAAAGCAGGGTTAACTAACTCTGAGTAGAAGTTGTGACTGATTAAACCTATCCAGCTCTGTGATACTCAGGGAAATCAACAGGCTAACCCAACTCTGAGTCAAGTTACCCTGAGTTAAGTGTGACAATAGAAGAAGCCCTGAATGCAGATAACGCAATTCACCATGGCAACGGGGGAAAAGAGTCTCAATACATAACAAAAAACAGCAACACTGTTGCTGCTGCAAAATAGCAAGTTAGCAGAAAATTAGTAAAATTATTGTCACTACATTTATTTAACATCCACAAAATGTTGATAATTTTATTTTTCTGAACCAAAAATCAATATCTACTAATTGCGTGTGATCACCCTGCAGAGTATTAGTCCCCAACATCTGCAGGCTCCCCAGAAAAGGAAAAGCCATTTCTGGCACTTTCCTTGTTGCAGGTCTCGGCGAAACAACAGAACAAACTCAGGATTCACTGCAACAGGCCGTCTGCAGAGCAGCGCTGCTTCACGGAGTGAGGCTCAGGATAACGACTATCTGGCTTTCTGAAACTGAAAACCCAAGACATGCTCTATTTACCCCAAAACTGACTCAGGATTTTCACTCATCCTAGTTTCTGAAACGGGGCCTGCAGGTGCAAAGTTGTAAGAGTGAGAACAACTCAGCGTGCAGAGCGTTTGCTCCGAGTTATGGAACAAGTCAGACAAGTCCTATTTTAAAATATCTCTTAAAAACACTTATTCCTCCACTTTCTACACACTGAAACAAGCAAAAGCTTAAAATAATCTCTAAGCCAAATGTGTGATTTATGTATCTGTGTGATTTGATTGGGTTTCTGACAGCTTGTTCAGAGACGAGCAGCTGCATTCTGACTTAATTAACACTTGTTTATGCCATAATAAAGCAAACTGCAGTAGTCCAAATGCAAAGTTATAAAAGCACAGACAGCCTTTTTAACATCATTATAATTCCAAAAGATTTTAGTTTTTACCAGAAGCCCAAAGTAAAAGAAACTCGTCTTAGTTACATTCGTTGTTTATCAAGTTCAAAATTTAAGTCAAAGTGCACCAAAATTTCTGACTGCAGAAGAAAGAAGCATCAAGGCGACAAACTCGTCATTCAGTTTCATCCTTGTTTGACTGTAAAAGATCTTCAGTCAACCACTGCTTAACATCTGAGATACTGGCAAAGAAGAAATGGCTTCATTACTTTACTGGCAGATAAATTTGTGTGTCCTCTGAATAGCAGTAAAAGGAAAAACTGGATATGTGTGTGAGCTTTATTTTTCAAGAGAGATCTGGCCAACACTGGCAGCAACACACGACTACAAATGAAAAGTAAAGATATCAAAACCAGGTTAAAATACAATATGGATAATAAAGGAAGAAAAATAGCAAAAACAAACAAAGCCATAAAAAATAGAGTTTGATGATGAATGACCAAACTGATAGAAAATAAAGAGAAAAGGTAAGGAACCAAGGATGGAGCCTTTTGGGACGCCACAGGAGAGAGGAGCAGTGGAAGACGATGGGAGCCAATCGTTACGGGAGGTTCAGAACCTCCAGGCCAAATGGAGGGCAGTGACACCCGACCAACACATCTCCAGAACCAGCGCCCTGGCACCCACCTCGCTGTGATTGGCTTTCCGTGATCGTTCTGTCATGAAAAGATCAGATACAGATCACAAAAGTCAGATTTAGGGTTAACTTTGACCTAACTAGGAACTATTGGGCCCCTGCAGAGGAAAGAACCAGTTGCACCCCCAACCCAGATGCCACAGAACGCCACCACCTGGTGCCAACCTCCACTTCGCTCGGCTTGGTGTTGGCCAACACCACCTATTAATCACTATCAGCTCAGATTCATTCTGTTTGGTTACAAGCAGATTGTCTCCCCTGTAGAGACATAATCTGATGAAAAGAAATCACAATCAATTATATTTGTCTTGCAGTTTGCACCAATAATGTCACCCAACTTTTTTTTTTTTACATGTTTTGTTGGCTCTAGTGGCTTTTATTTGAAAATAGTTTGACAAGAAAGAGGGTTATGAGAGACACAGAAGACATGCGGCAAAATATCACCAGGCCGGGAATCGAACCTGCAACCACTGGCATGAGGACCAAGGCCTCAATACGTGGGTTGTGCTTTAACCCTGCGCCACCACAGCTCCCCCATAATGTCACCCAACTTTATGAACTAGATTATAACTTCTGTGCTGATCTCACTTCACTCACTTCGTGGGGTTTGTTGCAAGACTCATATTTTATCCTGAACATTAAGGAGAAACAACCTCATGCTGTAGTACTGGTGTAGTACTGGTGTACTGGTGTAGTACTAGTGTAGTACTAGTGTTGTGCTGGTGTAGTACTAGTGTAGTACGGGTGTTGTACTGGTGTTGTACGGGTGTTGTACTGGTGTTGTACCTGAACATTAAAGAGAAATGACCTGAGGCTTTGAGATGCTCAGAGTTGAACATTGAGATGTTGACTACTGTTGAGAAAATAAATTTAAAATAAACTAGTTTTAAAACTTAGCATATCTTGATTCAAATACCTTAATTGTGGTTTTGAAATTAGTAACGTATTCTGACTTTTTGACCTTTAATTTACCTGTAGTTACAGCAGATGGTTTGCTAGGATTGTTTGAACTGCCTTTTGTCTGTGTGGGAAAACAATCAGGAGAAGTTCCAGCTTTTCACACTCATCTGTGAAAGACCGTAAACACGGCAGGAGTTTCTGGCTTGAGAGAGGGTCAGAGAGCTCCTGGTTGGAGGAGCAAAGATACGCCTTATTTGAATAAATTAAATATAAGAATGCGCCTTTACTATAAAACTTTCTGCACAGGAGTAACAAATCAGATTTGCTCTTGCAACTCTCCAAAGACGTCTTTGGACGTCTTTGCTTTTCTTTCCATTTATGTCAGGTAAATTAATGTATGTCTCCGTTGTTCTGCAGTTTCTGGTGTAAGTTTATGCATTGTCTTATATTGGATTAAACTCTGTAATTCTGTGACGTCAACACGCATTGCTGCTGTTTTCCTTGTGGCTACACGCGGCCCGCCGAGAGAACCTGGGATCTAGAGGAAGAGAGAGCCAGACTTTTTCCAAAGTTAATTAATTCAGAGAATCTCTTCCTTAACACTACTAAACATCAAATGATTATAAAATAAATATCTCACAGTTGATGATGATTATCTTCACCATGGTTATGGAGAAGAAAGGCAGCGGCTCCAGAGGAACTTTGACAAGGACAGCAGTGATGATGAAGACAAACATGATGATGAAGAGGCTTCCCATCACACGCAGGCGCTGAGGGATGCTGAGAGAACAAGGACAAATTAAATCCAGCTTTGTTTATGAAGCAGGATTAATGTTCTGTATGTGAAACGAGATGAAACTCTGACACTAAACTGCTTAGATGTGAATAATTCAGGAATAAAAAGAACAGAAGGATTTTTAATGGTCATGATGTTTTTAGGTTCCTGTTTGGTTCCTTCAGTCTTTTCTGTCTCTTGTTTTGGACCTGATTTTTCCCTGAGTTCAGTCATCATATTTCCTGTAACTCATCACTCTAATTCATTTTTATTTCCACATTTTAATAACGATTCCTTCCTTTGTCCTGTTGTATAAAAAACATTCATTTGATTTATGCATATTGGAATGATGATTGCTGGGTGTCTACAACATTTCTGGCTTAATTTTGTGTTTTCATGTTGAACAGCTTGTTGTTGTTTTTGACCTGAGAAGCTCTGGCAGCAGCTGTACGACTCAATTCAATCCAAAGACAAATGAAATGTTGTAACTCATATTATCCACAGTTCTTCAAAGAGTTGAAATAGATGCTGATGGGTGTTAGCAGGATACATCTCCTGTAGCGGTCTGTGTTACAGCGAGTGAAGAAGCCTCTGACTGAAGATGCTCTGTTTTCCCAGGCCAGTCTGATGAAGAGGACGGTCGTGGTTGGCCAGAATTTTCTTGATTTTATGAAGAATCCTTCTTTGCATCGTCATTTCCAGATTTTCCAGGTTCTGTTCAGAACCAGAACAGATGAAGGAAATGATGTTTGACCTTTGACCCTTATTCAAAGTGCTTTACTCTCAGTTATTGCTGATTTCCCCTTAAATCAGCAATAATCTCCTTTGTTTTGTTTTCATTCCAGATGATTTGATTGTTCCCATCCAGCAGCTCTCTGTCCTCTGGTCCATCTCTGATCCACCAGCAGCTGCAGAGTAATCTGAGTATTTCTGTAGATGATAGAAGGTTCTCCTGGTTTCACCCGCTGGTCTGTTAGTGAGGCAGCCATAGATATAGATCAGATAGATTCCATTTATTTATAGATCCAGCTGAGGCTGAAACTCCACCTGCTGCAGATCAGCTGATCCTCAGAGCTGCTGCTCCGTTCAGGTGGCAGCGGCTTTGATGGAGCAGGTGGATGAAGGCGTCTCCGTGGCGATAAGCAGACTGCAGGGGGTCCTGCTTCCTCAGGTGGGCCAGCAGGCGTCTCTCCAGGACCTCCATGATGGGAGTTGTCATGGCAACAAGTGACTGATGGTAAGTTTCCTTTGCTTCTGCAACTGGAGCAACTGGAACCTCCAGCTGAACATGAATCTGCCCACATGACAGAAACTACCACACATCTCTGACCTAGAAACTGGTGTAGTACTACAGTACAATTTGCTTAGTACTTTGTGTATTACTGGTGTAGTACCTGTGTAGTACTTACAGGGTGTGCAGGAAGGAGGTGAGGCAGGTGCACAGCAGCAGAGGCAACATGGCGCAGAGCGTCATCACGTTGTTGAATTTGGTCTCTAGGACACTTTGATGTTCACCTGCTGCTTCGCTCTGATTGGCTGAAACCTCAGTGAGCAAAGGGTCCTTCAGACGACTCCTGAAGTACTGCAAGGACAATAAAACTTCTGTTCACGTACAAAGAGTTTTAGCTAGAAAAAGACTGTCAGTAGGAAAATAAGAGAATCTGGATTCAGTAACAGAACCTTTACTGGACTTGTGAACCCAGATGGTAAATGGCCTGAGCTTAAATTGCTATTTTCCAGCCATACTGACTCCTCAGAGCACTTTACACCAGAGCCACATTCAGCCGTTCACACTCACAAACCCACACAAATCTGCAGGCAACTTGAGGTAAAGCAACAGGAAGTCTCAACCCTCTGCATCTGACCCAGCCTGACCTTTTAGGGATGACAAAAAGCTGCTCACACAACAGCTCATTTGGTAGCACTGACCTCTGTTGGTCATTTGATGTTGCAGCTCCATTTTAAATGGAAAGGTAAATACACTGAGCTTTACTCTCAAACCATATTTGCCCATTCCCACTCACATTCATGTATCAATGGGGAGATTGGAAGGCAGCTTGGGGTTAAGTGTCTTGCTAAAGGACACATCAACATGTGGCAGGAAGATGTTGGCATCAGGCTCTCAGCTTGATGCCAACATCCTTTCTACTCAGCTCTCCTGAGTCTGAATTGAGGTGCTGCATCCTTCAAAGGTGGCATTTGTAGGGCGATGCATCATAGCGTGGCAACAAGGCCTGTCCAAATTCAAAGACTCCTCCAAATGTGTCCTTCTTTTCATGGTCCACCATATCCCATGATTCATTGCAGGTCCCAACTGGGCGTTCAGACAAAGCGACAATGGCGGTGAAGAGTGGAAAATTATTTTGTCATATTCTGTCACATTCATTAACATTTATTCAGAACCCATGCACGATGTTTCATGTTCCTAACAACATCCCTGGTTTTGCTGATGTCAGAACAAGTCTGTGCAGAGAAACAGCAGATGATGTTTCACCATGGTAGCGGTCATGAAGAAGTTCCAGGGCAGCAATGTTCCCAGACCAAGCATGAAGAAGATCACCCAAACGCCCAAATATCTGCAACAAATAAAATTGAATGATTTAATCAACAGCCGTCAGTCAGAGTGCAACAAGGTCTGCTAGATCACTGAAAGTTAAAACTGATTCATGCTGAGTTTGGATAGTTAATCAAGTCAGGTCATGTAACATTTTGACAGCAGTTTTTCTCTTAATTGTTGAAACATTCGTATTTTTTGCAAATCTTTGCTAAGTACTGATAATTGCATTGTTCATGTTACAGCATCTTACTTAAAGAAGTCTAAATAAAGTCATTCTCTGGATTACTTGTCTTTGGGTGAGGTGGTAGCCATCGTCACAGAGAAACCAACTGGCTGAAGAACGGAGCAGCTGGACTGGAGATCCAGAGGGAATCTGAAGGGCTGGGCTGGAGCGAAATGAGGAGGATCGGATCAACCCCCCAGTGTTTCTTGAGCTGGAATAAAATATATATCAATGATGAAGCAGAAGAGGATAACTAGACGCTTATTCAGTCATCTTTTCTATTTTTGACTTAGACTTTCTCCTAAATATTTTTCTTTTGGAATAAAACCTTGTGCCTTTTCCTGCTCAGTGTGGATTGATTTTAATTGATCAAGCAGGTTAATTGTTGATTCATCTGCAGCATAAAGTTGCTGACAGGCTGCTTTTAAAGCTCTGTGGACCCTAATGCATCCAAATCCCCCAAATTCCCAGTGGGGGTCGGGATGATAGAGCCATGTAGCACAGCTGCTAACCTGCTGTAGTCCTGCTGCTTGGTCTCATACTGTCACTGACCTTTGACCCCTCATCACAGAAATGATTCCTTTGGTTCTTCTGGCTTTATCCTGCAATAACTTTGCCTTTATTTTCTCTCTATTTTTTTCTCTCCTGTCCTCCATTTCCTTTCCTTCTGGCGTTTCGACGAATTCAACCTGCTCCTCTTTATTCCTGCCTTTTCATTTTCCAGTTGGGAGGGGCTGCCTGTCTCTCCACTTTGTTATTCCAGCTGGAAACTAGAGATCAGGATGACCTCTGACCTGAACCTTCAGAGACACATAAAGACATTTACAAAGTCAACCTTCTATCAGCTCAAGAACATTTCCAGACTTACTTTTAATTTTTATGTGACTGGGCGGCTTATTAGTTTCGAAATGGTGTATATTTAAAAGTAGCTGTAAATTCCCACCCGTATTGGGCCCCTGAACACACCTGTGTCCCCTGGGTCCCTAACCCTGGACAATCCGGATTAACCCTATTAGGCTGTTGGAGGGGAGTCGACTTGCTAACCCCAACAAGCCCTGCATCATGAGGGACGTTGGTCTGGCTAATCAGGTAAATTAGTTTTTGATTAGTCACCTATGACTTGGTGTTTTCTATGTCAGTGATGCTGTTCATATAATTGTCGGTTTGTCTAGTCTGACTTGTATTTGTCACTCACAAGTCAGATTTTATGGCTTATTTTAGGAAGCACCAGCTTAACAATGCTGCAAACTGGCTCAACTGAAGATGCACCTGCATAAACTCATCCAAGAGGAGAAACTTCTTCCCTTGATAAAGAAACATAAACAAAGCAACTTTAATTTTGAGTGCCAGCTACACTGATAAAAAAATGCTTTGCCGCACATCAGTTTTTCCCAAAAGCTTCTTCAAATTACCACACATACAGATATAAATATTTTCTCAATCACATTCACGCCACTCCTTTACACCATTGCCAGCACAACAGGACTATTTTTGTGATATTCAATATGTTCATTGTCATGCATTTTGGAAGGTACTAGAACCATTTCCTCAATGAAACTTGATGAAATAAAGGGGCTGGGTCTGTGGTAGTAGGGGGTCATCACACCTAAAACTAGTTTTCCTAGAATTTTGAAGGCAGAAGCTTAGATTATTTTTCTTTTCATGGGAATGTTACTTTAAAATGTTAGGATAACTGTCCAGCAAAAATATGTGGCTATAATTGGAATCAATGGGGCCAAAATGTGAGGATTTGGTTTTCTGTGTTCATTAGTCCGTGTGTTGTGGCGTCTACCCCCTGATTGTTTCCAGCTGTCCCTCCTGATTGCCCTCCATGTATTTAATTGTGTTTTGTGGTTTGTCATTTTGTTGTCTTCCAGTCTTGTGTACCAGCGTCTCAGTACCTTTTCTCATTGCTCACCTGTGCTGCCTGGACTTTTTCTATGCTTTTGAGATCGCCATTAAAACCATCATTTTTGCACTATCTGTGTCCTGTCGCGTCCATCCACACCACAATCAACCCATTTCATGACACAAATGGGACAGAAGGCCTTAAAAGTACACAAAGAGCATATCTTTTGTTCTGCATACCATACAACCAAAAGGACAAAAACATTTTAAAAAGAAAATAGAAAAGAAAAAGTCCTGGCCAAGTTTCAATAAGTCTGACTCAGATATTGAGAATCAACAAAAATGGTGAAGGACGTCCCATTTTGGGCAGCCTAGAATCTCTAGAGGTTGAGGTCAATATAGAGATTAACCCTAACCTTCAACATTCATTTTAGCACTGAACAACCGAAATGTAGCATTTGATTTGATAATAGTTTTGATTCAGTTTATTTTGTTGCACCAATTCATAACATGTAATTTCAAGCCATTTTTAAAAAAGGTAAATTCAATCCAAGAACTAGATTGCAAGCCACTGTGATCCATTCCAATTGATTTGTTATTAAAAAAATGCAAATTCAGTTTGTTAGCTAAAAATAGTTTTTCTATCAAAGGTTATTCAGCAGACATGATCCTGACAGTGGGAACATGTAGGAAGGATTTTTGCTGTTTCATTAGGCCATTTTTCTGTCAACAAAACAACACAAGTAAAAACTTATTTGTCCTCTTAAGGAGTGAAAGTGAAATATCTTCATATTTCCTACTGAGCCGAGGAAAATGTAAGTTAAAGTTAGAGACTCAACAGGAAGTAGAACTGCAAACTGTTTTTCTGCCCTCTGCTGTTGGGAGATGCTGACTCACTGTGAAAGAAGTGTTGGTGAGTCGGAGGCAGATATTTGGAACCAAGGACTGAACAGGGAAGGCAGTCTGATCGATCCGATCCAGTGTTGATCTACTCAGCTTCACAGCTATGCAAACAGATTGATACCTGAGAAGGAGCATTTGGGGGAGCAAAGGGGCTACTTCCTATTTTCAATCAGACATTTTAACTGTTGAAGAGCACATTCCACTGTTATCAGTTGGTTCCTGTGTTTATCAGGAAAGATAATTCAGTTCTGTGAAATTACTTGAAAAGACAGAAATAACCATGTCAAGCCTCATATTGTTTCATGTAGTCTGCAGAGCTTGCTACCTGAATTTCCTGAGTGTCCCTGAATGCACCATCTGATGTCACAACACAGAGATTTTGAGAATGAAAATTCTGTCAGATGTTGTGGGATGTTTAGTGACCCACCACACAGAGGAAGTTCTTCACCCAGAAAATCAAAATCAAACACATTAGAGTATGTTTCCCGTCATGATCAGCAGCTATCAGATGATTGAACAAACCCAGACAGGATAAAAGGCTGAAACCAGGTTCAGGTTTTACCTTCAGTGTTTCACAGCAGCCATTCAGTCGTTATCAAAGCAGATATTGTTGATCGTTCTGTGCAACTTTCCTGTGCATACAGCTGCTTGTGAAATCCTTTGTCCTCTGTTACCTTCCTGTCTTAGAGATCTTCCTCATGGTGTGGTGCCGTCTCAGCAGAATCACTTCTTCCTCTGCAGTGGCCTTTAACCTGTGATATCAGCCTGTTCTCTGGACTTTGGTTCTGTGTAAATAACAGATAACAGAACATTGTCAATCTGTGAAAGCCATACAGATTGTTAATGAGGATTCAATTTATTGTACAAGTTAGTTTAATGTCAAAACAGAAAATCCCCTCAGATTTACAAGGCTTAGGGTTAAACAGTGGTCAGCCAAATGAAAGTCAGCCCAGTCACCGTCAGCAAGAGCCTGTTCTAAAGTCAGGTAAATCAGGTAAACTTAAACTAATTTGTTAAATAACTCTTGAAACATTTATGGATTGTAATTCTGAAAGTAAGCTCATAAGTTTCCCTCAGGCATGAACCAGGAAAAATAGAAAGTAGTGACTAGAGTCAGGAGAGTTATCAGGGGTGGAGGGCTCCACTCTCAAGGAAGGGTCCCTCACATCTTCTCAGAAAAGTCCCAGCATGTTAACGAAGGCCTTGAAGAAAACCAGAGAGGCTTCCTCAAAGTCTATTGGCTGTTTGAGATTCTATCATTAAGATTTAAAGGCTCTGCATGGCTGAGCCAAACTGCCACAATCTATTATCTGAGAATTCGTTTTTTTCTGTGTTTTTGCCCCTGATTGTCTCCCTTTTTTATTTAAACCCACCTGTTTTCCTTGTTCTCTGTCGGGTCCTCGTCTTTTCAGCTTGTCAAGTCTGTTGTTAGTCGTTTGTACCAGTTGCTATCAGTATTGAGCCATTAGCTTTCCGCTCATCTGTGCTGCCTGGATTATTGTGTTTATCATTAAATCATCATTTTCTTCACTTCAACCTGGTCCACTGCATCGCCTCACCACCTGTCACCGCAAATCATGGCATCATCGTTGTCACAGCTGGATGGAAATCAGCATCATCTCGTCAAGTCACGACTCCCCTGGAAAAGATTTCACTTCCCTCAATAATCTATAATCGATAAACTCTGTCACAATGGGTATAATATCTTATTTCAGTTTACTTAATTTATTATACCAGGTTATATAAAAAATGTTTGATTTTTTTTCTATCCTTTTATTTACCTTCTTCCAGGCTTGGGTTATACTTAGTTTGTTTCATTAAAAAAATATTCTATCAAAATAATCCAGATTAAATTCTGGTGGATGAAAGACCTGTCAGATTCTTTCTAAAAGGTTTGAAATCATTATTATTAATATAATTAACACCCTTCTCTTTGAAATTAATGCCTAATGTTATTCTTTGATCATTTTGCAGGTTGTGTCTAGTCTGGAGTCTAAGTTGATGTTTTTATTTTTCTCCTCCGCAGGACTCAATGTAAGACCTTAACCCTTTGCTTAATAGCACTGTGGATCTGTAGATAAATTACAAACATTATTGAGAATATCACTGCACCTTTCCTTCCCAATCAAGTCTTGTGTCTGAACCAACTTTTTCATTCCTTTGCAAATGTTTATTGATACTCAGTTAATTACAGCATTAACTTTCAGAACAAAATACATTTTTTAATGTTACATTAGACTTTAAAAAGTGGGACATTGAAAACGTTTTTTTAAAAGTTGAGCAGGACCGGGGTGACCCCCTACAAAGCTTTGAGCCGTCCTGTTCCTCCAAAACAGTGCTGGTGCTCAGAGGGGATCCTGGCCTGATGCTCCTTCCCTCTGTCCTCACCCAGAGAGCCGGGCTGCTGCTGCTGGGACCTCTGTTCCTTTGTCCAAATGGGTGCAGAGGCGATGCTTCTCTGTGGCTGTGTCCTTGGCATGCCACCTGCAGCTGATATTATTGCTGCCACCATTCAGATCACAGCCATGGGGGGATCTACATGCGCTTCCTTGCCAGCAAGTTTCCAGAGGTCCCTGTGGCATCTTTGATGGTGGCTAGGGTGAGCCAAGTCTCTGCAAAGTTCCTCACCGCCTCCTTTCAGCACTATCTGTGTATTGAGGACTTCCCTTGCTGGCATGTATGGGAATTTCAAGGAGCCGGCCTCTGCCCACAGGTCCCTGGCAGCGCTGCACTCCCACAGCAGGTGCCTCACCGACTCCGGAGCGCCACAACCGGGTCAGGGGCAGATGGAGGTGGATGAGATGCAATTTAAATTTTCAAGATTTTCTTTAATTCTTTGCAAATAAAGTCAGTATAGACAGTTTATAACAAAAATTAAAGTTTCACCTTATTACAAATGCACAATTTTATTTACACAAGTCAAAATATATTATTCTATGTCATAAAAATTGTTCTATTATTTAAAAACGTTCAGTAGATCAACAGGCACTTTCCACACCAGCACCTCATCCTCAGTCTTTTTTCCCAGACTACTCTTCTAAATATATTCTCTGACTAGTGAACCCACACTCTGACATTTTTTCCTGTTATTTCCTATTTTGTGTATATTAGAATATTCCTTGCTTTCCATATTATTTCTTTAACACAGTTAATTGCAATCCACCAAAGAAGTTTATTTCTTTCCCATCCATCTTTTAACAAACCATAGGACGGGGTGCCCAAGTCCAGTCCTCGACAACCACCATCCTGCAACTTTCAGATGCTTCCCTGCTTCAACACACCTGAATCAAATGAATGGCTCGTTATCAGGCCTCTGCAGAGCTGATCCCGGTCTGTTGGAGTAAGGATACTTCTAAAACTTGCAGGATGGTAGCTCTCGAGGACTGGACTTGGGCACCCCTGCCATAGGACATCTTTTCATAAGTTAAACTCTCCTTGCACAAGTTGTTCAATCAAGGTGACATTAGAGACCATACTTTTTGTCCAAATGACAATGTCCAAAACTTTCATTTTGGGTTGTAACTTTCTGACCCCACATGCAAGAACATCAGACGGGAACCAAAAATCAGTAAAAGATCTTTATTTTGAAAATACCAGACAATGATCAGAACTGCAGGTTCCAAGGAAAGTGGCAACCGGGGCGGGTTCACTGAAGAGGGGAAGAGCAAGTGGTGAGTTTGAGGGCTGTAGGAGGGCTCTGGAAAACTAGACTTGGGCACCCATAAATGTATGAAAATACAATGTTAAAAATAAATTAAACACCTCATATTGTTAAAGAACTGATTTCATGTATTGAAGTTTTAAATATTACATTTGAGTTTCCATGGAGGTAAAATTACTGCTCAGTTTAAATATTACAATATTTAAATCAGTGTTTAAAGGTAAGCAAACAAATAATAAAAACAAGTCACATGGGCAGACATTATAGACTTTACGCAAAGATTTAGTCTCAGAGGCAACTGAAACCAATTAATAAAAAAAAAGTCCTTTCTGAATATCATCTCATGGTCTCTGAACTAAATGCGTCTTTCTGACGCATTACAAACCTTTGGTTGAAATGGCGCGTTAAATTCAAGTCTCCATTACAGACCAGAGAAAACTAAAGAGAATGCAACGTTGTGTTAATCCACTTGAGGAGCCGGTAGTTTATCTTGAGGAAATAAATGACGATGCAAAAGTTAATTAGACTGTAACATGCGCAGTCCGCAGCTCGACCGCTGCGGACGAGGCTCCGCCGCTGCGAAGAATTAGAAACCGCTGGAAGTAACTCATCCAGCGGATTTAACAAATGGAGCCTTCTGGGTGGAAGTTACCCAGGAGAGCGGCGCTCTGGAGGAGCTGCAGACGTGACATCTGTCCGTTTCGGAGAAGCGGGAAAAAAAAAAAATCCTTAAAGCGCACACCGGACCCCGCAGGGTAAAACACTCAGAGTCCAGTGGATCTGTTTGGATCAGACAGATCCAACTGACTGATGAATTAGCGCAGATTTTTCTGCAGATTTGAACCAGGAGGAAGTTGTTCAGACCCCAGCGGGTGAAGTGATGCTAATTTAAGTGAAGTCGCTTAATTTAATTTATTAAAAGTTATTGGGGCCTCAGTCAGTGGTGTTTTTTTTTGTCACTACGGAGAAAAATGTAGATGCATTTATCTGCTTAATCTGTGATGGGATCTGGATTCACGGTGAATATTCACTAAACCGCATAAAATGCGACTAAATAGCCGATTTTACTATGATTGTAATTTCACGGATAAAAATAGTACAGGACCGATTTTTTTATGTTGTCGGTCAAGATAATGGATAACAAAAAAAGTCTAGCGCCACCTGCCGCCCTGACACCAACTCACACATCTTCATTCACAGTCTTACTTGTAAATCGATTTTTCTTTTCTTGGACGTTTTGATGTTAGCTTGTCGATGTCTCAGTTTTATTCGAAGGTGGTCAGAGAAACTCTGACAGATGTTTTTCATGGTTTTCACAAGCGGCCTAGAGACAGGTGGTCCACAACTTTTCCTCATGACTCCCCTTAATCCAACACTAAAAGTAAGATAAGAAAGTCATGAAAAGCTGGAAGACATGCTTATGAAGACAGCAAGGGATGAGCTATATTAACTAAAAATTTTACATTTGAAAACTAAATTTTGTCAAGGAGGTAGACATAAAATTATGTTGTGGATGCAGATGTAGATGTGTAGAAGATTAATTTTGAATTTACCACAATCTTTCTGGAAATAAATCTTGAGGTGACTCTGCTGCTCTCTAGTGGCGAGAAGCCGTAATACTTGCTGGTAACAATCGGAATGCATTATGGGAGATGTAGTTTGTAGTAAATTCGTGCTCAAAACCTATTTGAAGTCAATCATGGGCCTCTAAAATGCTGGGGGGCCACATAAAATGACATTGCGGGCCACATGTGGCCTGCGGGCCTTGAGTTTGACACATGTGCCTTAAAGCCACATCTCAGTGACTTGACCACTGTTTGGAAGATTGAAGGATATTTACCTGAAAAAGGTGTGTGTAAAGTAACCCTCTTGTCCCACACCTTCAACACCCGACCTCCCAGTCAAAATCTGACAAAAGGTGCCCAAATGAGCTCTGGAGGCAGATCTAAACAAGGTCTTAAAATTGGTGTTATAAACATAGCTTTAAATTTAACTCCTATATCCGGCACATCTCTACCTCCTTTGTCCAGAGGTCTATGCATAATTTCTCTTTTTAATTTTTCTTGCTAGCTTCCCCATACAAACTGAAACACTGTTTTCCAGATCAC